CTAGAGCCTCCGCTCTCATCGAACCGGGAGAGATGCTGTCGAGTTTAGTAGATTTCTGTCGATTAAAATGGGATCTTGACGGCCTTGAGAGTGATATCAGCTTGTTCCCTGAGTTTTCACAGCCTTTGGCCCCGTGGGGCTGTGTCAAGGTCTCCTGTGGCAACACAAACTCTACGAAATTCCATCCAGAGACCACGGGATGTTCCCAGACTTTATGTTACGGAACAGTGGGAGAAACTGGGTGGTACATCACAGCCTGAGTTCCTTGATGTATTTCCCGTGGATGCTTTGCAGGCAGACGGGAAGGGCTGGAAGAATGGGCTCCCCGGGCTGGCACTGGGTTTGCACAGAGCTGCCTAGCAGGAGGCTGTGCCCGAGTGGGGGGCAGCTGCCTGTTTGCCAGTGTGGGTGAGGTTAGGAATGCACCGACTGTGGCATAAACGGACCTGGAGCTCAGCTGTTCCCCTGGGTGAAATTTAGCAGCGTGGTTAGTTTCCTCACATGGATGGATTTATCAAAAGGTGAGGAAAAGCTTAAAATAATAAAAAAACCCCCAACAATCTAAACTTCCACCACCCAGAAAAAAAAACAACCCAAACCTCTGCCCCCTCCAAAGAAACCCCAGCACTGGTGCATTTAATGTCTCTGTGCCTTCAGCTCCTGAACCACAGCTGGGCATGTGTTTGTAAACAGCATCTCTGCCTGGGGGGCTGTATGGGGAGAGCACTTTGCTCATGATCTCTCTGCTGTGTGCTGGAAAAAGAAAAAAAAAAAAGGCACCAAAAACCCCAGCATCCCCCTGCAAGTGGATAAAATGCTCCGCGGGCTGCTCCTTCCCGGGAGGGGACGGACAGCGTACAGTAACAGACTTTGCTGGGAAGCAAATCCTATCTGGGAATACTTGCTGGGAAGCAGCAGCGAAGGGCAGCTGCTGAGAAAAAGCTGCTCCCTGGCTCTGACGGCGTTTTTAAGCAGTGGCTGGGTTTCTGGCCAGGCAGAGGGACCCCTTCCTTGCCTTCCCGTGGTGGGTGACGTCGGGCGACGTCGGGCCGGGTTGCGTGACTTTGCACGTCGGTTGGTGCCCGTGATGCGCAGACGCAAAGCGGCTCCTGGCCGAGAGTCAGTGGGACGGAACAGAAACGTTGAAAGGTTTCCTAGGGCTCTGCTGCTCGGCGGAGGAGGAGGAGGAAGCTGTGTAGCCTTTGCCTTCCCCCTTCCTGGGCTTCTGCCTTCCTGACGGAGGTGAGGAATTGAAGTCCCACCGTGCCCAAGAGACGCTGTGCTGCTTTTCCAGCCAGGAAAGTAATATATTTTTTTTTTCATACATACCAAAAGGCATAGAAGTTACTACAAGGAAATGAAATGCATCTAGATCAATGAAATAGGGTAGTCATTTCCTGCTGGGTGGGGGGAGAAACATCCATGAAATGGTCCTTGGCTTTCCTGAGGGTAAATTCATACTTCGGCTTTACACCTTAAGACTTCTCTGTCCCTTTTCTGATTTGCTTAGATAATTTATTTCCGGTTCAGCTTGTCAGTGGCTCTTGAAGGCGCTGGTCGCTTAAACCAGCCTTTGCAGCCAGGAAAATGGGCGTTGGAGTTTCAGCTTTTCTAGATGCTGGGTAGATATAGATAGGTCAGGACTAACTGGTTAACCTCTTAATGTGGTGAAAAGCTTCTGGTCAGGTAGGGTCTCCTAATTGCCTATGGAAGCAGGAGGGATTAAGGTGGGCTTTGTCTCATTCCAGGTATCGGATCAGGGACTTCCCAGGACTCTGTGTGTGGCTGCCAAACAAAACTGAAGAGGAATGCCCATCGCTGCCCGTCTGCTGCGTTCTCCACCCGAAAACATCGCTGGGGGCTGGTTTGTTAGGTAACCTGTAATAAGTCTGAGATCACATTTATAGCAAGAACACCCTGGGTTCTCCCCCGTCCCCTCATCCAGACACCCCAGGGGATGCCTGCCTGGGCTGCGATTTGTGCGAGCCCAGGGGAGCAAACCTGAGGAGTACGTGTGGCGGGGTAAGTGCTCAAGTCCTGCTGCTCGCCAGGCCTGAGCTCTCTCAGCTGGCACTGGCATTGCTCTCCTTACTTGCCCATCACATAGACCTGCAGGGCATCAGATGTAAATGGCGAGGTTTCACAGTCTAATAAACAGAAATACTTGTTTTATTAATTAGGTGAAGATCACGCATCCCTTAAAATAGCAGCCTATCCTACGTTGCGTGGTTCATCAGCCAAACCCAGAGCATCCCCCACAACAAAAGCACCGAGCGTTGCACCTCTCGCATCCTTCAGTGGGATCCCTGGGCAGAGGTGAGGAACATCAGAGGTACGGAGCCCTCCCTCTGACCATCATGGAGCCCACAGCTCAGACCCAGCAAGAGGCATCTACCCCTTCCATCACGGAGACAGCAGAAGACCTTGCCTTGAAGTTAAATGCTGCTGTGAGGGACAGTAACATAAATGATGTGCTGGAGCTGCTGGAGAAAGGAGCAGATGTGAACTCCAAAGCAGAAAGTGGTTGGACACCACTGCAGAGCGCCGTGCAAGCTAATAATGAGGACCTGGTCCGGCTTCTGCTGGAGAAGGGTGCTTGTCCACATGCCAGGAAGGACAACGGTGGCACTGCATTTACTGAGGCAGCAATAGTGGGAAACGTGAATATACTGGAGCTCCTCCTTGATCAGGGATTAAATATTAATGACCACGATGACAACGGCTTCACAGCTTTTATGGAGGCTGCGTGGTATGGGAAGGAGGAAGCCTTGAAATTCCTGTATAGCAAAGGAGCAAACGTGAATTTGAGGAGGGCAGTTAGCGAGGAGAAAGCGAAACTGCATAAAGGAGGTGCGACAGCACTAATGGATGCTTGTAGGGGGGGCCACTTCTCGGTTGTAAAAACTCTTGTCCAAGAGATGGGGGCTGATGTGAACATTTGTGACAACAAAGATTCTTGATCCATGCCCTCCAGAAGGGCTGTGCCAGGGAAAAATACCAGTCGGTTGTCTCCATAGGCCATTTTCTGCTGGACTGCGGTGTTGATGTGAACAGCAAAGATGAATGTGGGAAAACTGCCCTCATCCTAGCTGTTGAAATGCAGAGCCTGGATCTGGTGAAAGCTTTACTGGAGAAGGGGGAAATAGATATTGATGATGCGGATGAGGAGGGCAGCACAGCACTGATGGTGGCTGTAGAGAAAAAGGATTACAATATAGCAGAGGAGTTGTGTAAAAATAAAGCAAGGACTGATATTGGGAACCTTATCGCTGTTGCAAATAGGAATCGTGCTCATGACATGGCACGTCTTCTTCGCCAGTATAACGCCAGGTTTGTTCCAGAAACCTTCACAGAATGGGAGCCAAACAGCAAACGCTGGAGGGATCAGCTGAAATCTCTTTATAAAATATATCGCCCTATGATTGGCAAACTGAAGACATTTCAATACATCCAGCAGAGAATTCAGAACACTTCCCAAGGTGGCATCTACCTGGGGCTCTATGGCGGGACAGAGGTAGCAGTAAGAATAAGCCGCAGTACGGAGGGTGACAAAGAGAAAAGGTTCTTCGAACAATGTGGTAACTGTGAACATCTACTGAAGCTCTTCCAGTTTGTGAAGGCAAAAGGCTACATGTATTTGTGTTTTCCCCTCTGGGAGAAAAACCTTGAAGAATATCTGCAGGAACGAGGAGACCAGATGGACTACAAAGATGCCCTGAGGATGATCTTCCAGGCAGTGAGAGAGCTGCACTCCCTCAGCTTTGCTCACCAGGATCTGCAACCCAGCAACTTTTTCATAGGTTATCTTTTCCTTTCTCAGCATTTTCATTTGGCTTTCCCATTGCTCGTAGTTTAGAGAAGGAGACACTTCGTTGCTGTCTGTAAAAAACAAACAAACAAAAAAACCACCCCAAAACCCCAACCCCCTAGATGTTCACAGACAGCCACAGAGGAGTGACCAGAACAACTTTACATGTCTTATTAGATCTGCCCCCCCTTTCCAGGGCCTTGCAGAGAGATCAGCCCACAGCAGATCTCTTTGGAGATTTGTTTTCTAAAGAAGGGGCCATCCAGAAGTCAGTGACAGATTGTACCGAGGTTTTCCACCATTATTTGCTAACAATTTCTCTTATTTCCTCAGATTTAGGTGGCAAAATTTACTTGGCGGACTTTGATAATAAAAGAAAGTTGATTGAAGGCAAAAAAGAGCTTGTAAACTCAGATTTAGAGGTAACTTGCCTGCGAACCGATGTACGGTTTAACATTTCTGGCGCGCTCTACTATTTTCTGTTGCGGTAAATCCTGGGGGAAGCCTTTCTGTATCCTCAACTAGAAAATACCTTCATTTTTGGGAAAGCCCATATAACAATAGACGCTGCGTAAGAATGATAGTGATTGGGACGCAAGGCTGTGTCTGGTGCTGGCATATCCACAGATACCCCTGTGAGCGTCATTACGGTGCCTGTCTTCTCTTTGTGCACCCAGCTTCCAACTTGGTGTGTAATTATATATTTCTGCACAGTTATAGGTGCATGTGTGTGTCCACATACGCAGTCTGCTCGTTTAGGAACACTAGTCCCCTTCCCTTTGGTAACAAGTTCCCCGTATCTGGCGGGTGAGCAGTGATGTGTTTCTCTGCAGGCTCTCGGCAGGCTCGTGCTGTACGTTTTAACAGGGGGTAGGAAACCCCTTCAGCAAGTCCGTACTGAGGATTTGGCTGCTGATTCCCCAGATTACAAGGAGGCTCTGGACCTTGTTAGTTGCCTGGCCTCTCATGATGAACGAGGCTTGGAAGGTTTGAGCAACCATCCCTATTTCTGGAGCAAACAGACGTAAGTGCTGGGAGTACGAAGGGAAAACTTTCGGTGTGGGATTTGCCTGTAGTGCTGGGAACAGCGATGTCCTGTTGCAGCTAATGAAGCTCCTCATTCCACAGCAGGTTCAAATTCCTGAAGAGCGTATGGAATAAAATCAAAGATCTCCGCAACCGAAAAGCTGTCTTTCAAGCCTCTAATGCTACTGAAAGTTTTCCTTACCCGTCGTGGACCGAGAAGGTAATCCTCTTCTCTTTGGATGGATGTGAAGTTTGAGGTAGATTTTCAGGCAGAAGCTTCTCCTGAGTTTTTCACAGGCCCTGCTTAAAATCGTAACTGCAAGAAGCAGCCCCACGCAAATACAGATAACCAGGGGGAAACAATTAAGCCTAAGCCACGTAGTTAAAATACACCAGACTAACAACATTGATGGTAAAGGAAGCTTCTCTTGGCTGGGAGTAGGTCGTTATAGAACCAGCTGGCAAACCTTCAAGGGTGTTTGTGGTGACCCCTTAAGACAAGGACTTCTGGCCCTTGTTACCAGTGAATTTCTGACAAAAGTGTTTTGTTAGATTGGGTCAAAAGCAGTGAGACCAGGCCTGCTTTTGCAGTGGGCATCCTGGAAAGACGTCTTGCATCGTTTGAGATCCGGCAGTCTCGGTTCAGTATGGCAGCCTGGGTAGCCCTCTCAAGGGCACAGCTGGATCAAGACCCTCTCCTACCCTCCCAGCCATGCGTGACATTCTCTTGTCCCGTGTTGACAGTCCTAATATGAACGTCACACCTTGACAAGGCAGGAGAGGAAACACTTAGCAGGATCAGGGGGTCTATATGACACATGCCCTGCAGAGCGAACTCTTCTGCTGCTGTTGGGAAATGTGTTTTTAAGGGTCACGACATTGACCCATGCAAGGCGATGTCCCTGCAGAAAGGCAGTGGCTGCGGTGAGTGGAGGTAGATGTGCTGCTTTCGCGGTGTGTGAAAGGCAGAGAGTAATCTATGTGCTTTTTTTTCAGATTGACAAAGAAGTTCTGAGTATCATGGAAAATCCTAGGAAACGAAAACCATTGGAATACAGCAACGACATCACTGACCTACTGAGGCTCATCAGAAACCTGGATGAACACCCAGATACCAGGTGCACGTTCACATCCTTGCCCCTGCTACAGTTGCACCGCAGAGAGTATCTGGGTATCTGCAAGCGTCAGTGAGTTTGAGAGCAAAATCTTCTTCAGATGGTTTTCCAGAAGGGTGAACACAACTGGGATGTGGGAGAAAGTCCGTTAAAGCTCATCTTGTTAGAGGGGTTATCTCCTCTGGCAGCGCAATAATGTCTGAAAGATTGTGTGTCACGGCAGCGAGCAGTCTGGAGTCAGCCCTCAAAATGACCTTCCCGAGGGTAAGAAAAGGAAGTTAGCTCACAGGATTAGACCTCAGATTTGGAAGCAAAATCTGACTCCCAGATCATCTCCCACAGATGAACATCCTCAACCAGAGCCTTCTGCTCCAGGGGGACAGCAGCAGCTTCAGAGAATTGGTGGCTGCTCCCTCTGCACCCTTGCCTTTGCAGAGCAGTCTGTGGGGTGGAGAGGTGTCCGTCATGGCTCTACAGCAGATGACACCATGAACGTGTCCTTCTGGGCTGTTATTTTTGCTGCAGGCTGATGTTTCTTGCTGTAACTCCAGGAAGGTTTTTACATCACTCTTAAATATTTGTATCATCCTTTATACTTTTGTAAAGCCTCCTTGTCTCCCTCGCTAGTATTTCCAAAATGCTGATGTTTACTGTGCTGAACTGCTTTGAGATACGCATCAGGCAGCACTGGTCCTGTTAGAAGATCCTGTTAGGAGGCCTTGACTCCTACAGACTTACCAGAGTCTTCAATCCTCTATAGTGAGATTAGAGGTGGTGTTAGCTCCTAGTGATGGTTTCATTGAGGCTGGTGCCCAGCACTGCTCTTCAGTGAAGATGCAGGTGGGATTAGGCAGATGGAGGTGCTGGAGGAATAGCAAAAAAAAATTAACTGAGGAGCTTACGGAAGGTACAGAAAAGCTGCAGCTCAAGGACTTCTAGGAAACCTTCCTGTGTTATCAGAAAGCCTCTGGAATGGCTTTTTCTCTGCAAGGGAGGAACCAGGGCATCCTGGACACCTGACTCCTTGGGCACGCTTTAAAAATCCATTTTGGTTTTGTTCTCTTTCAGAATCAGCAACAAAGTCGGAGACCACGCTGAGTATTTCTTGAAGCTTTTTCCAGCACTTACCATTTATGTCTACAACAGTTTACGCCAGAATCCCAAATACAGTCACTTTGCAGACATTCAGGACTCTTCTCTGTAGGATGTCATTGCCCTCTGTCCCATGTCTGATCCCACCGTCACTGCCTCCTTTTATTCCCTAGTTCTTCATCTGCAAAAGAGTTGAAGAAAGCAGGTAAGGGGATGGGAGAGAGCACATGCAGGGACAAGGCATGGAGGACTTAGATAAGAAATGAAAGATGCTTCAGAAGTGTTTGATGTTACAACCATGCCCTTTGGAGAGGAACCAAGCTGAGTGTCAGCCCAGGTCCCCCTTGACGACCTCTGTCTCTCTGGGCTTCTCTGCCTCTGCGAGGTGGAGATCAAGGCCCTGATCCTTATGGAGAGCAGGGAGACGTGGAACAGACCCCACAGACCCAACGCATCGGGGAGGCAGGAGAAGAGCTCAGGCGTTGCCAGACAATATGGGACTTTCCAATAAAGGAAAAGGAGTTCGAGCCCCTTGCTAGGGCCAATATTCCCTACAGCTTGCACTGATGAGCTGCTCATCTACCCCTAGAAAGACATGGATTCTCTCTTTTCAGTCTTTTTGAACCACGGCAGCCAGAAAGTGAGATGCCTAGGCAATGGTCTGGCTGCAGAGTTGCCCTTGGCCCGTTATCCCTCTGATCTGGTAGAGGCACACCCAGGCCAGCCTGCTGGGACCTGAAGGATGACTTCTGGGGGATGCAAGGGATGTTTCCACAAAGAACAGACGTAAAGGAGCACGATCCCACAAAACTCTGCTACTGTGAGTAGTCCTGACTCACTTGAAAAAGGTCACTGACGTCAAAGGGACTGCAGGGACCCTTTTCTCCTGGAAAGGACAAGCTCTGCCATGGCAGACCATGTGTGCAAGGCAGGGCTACGCAAAAGCACTCCCTGTCTCCAAAGCAGTGCCCCTGTTGGCATACCGCTGCCCTCGCATATGTCCCCTTGCACAGAGCTGGTGCCCATACAGTCGTAGCATAGAATCATAGAATCATTATGGTTGGAAAAGACGTCAAAGATCATCAAGTCCAACTGTATACCTGATGCCACCTTGTCCACTAAACCGTGTCTTGAAGTACCACATCTAAACGTTTTTTGAATACCTCCAGGGACGATGACTCCACCACCTCCCTGGGGGAGCATGCAGCCAGCTCAGAGCTTTGATGCTGGAGGCTGGGTGGTACAAACCCATTTCTGAAATTCTATGGCATGCAATGTGTGTCTGACTGTCCGAGGGCTGGCTTGTTTCTCCGCTAACGCTCTGATTTGCACAATGATTATATGTTGCTTACAGAAATATTTTTCAGCTGTTGAAAAGATTTTTAGGTTTTTTTTTCAAACGGAGATTGTTCTTTCAATTAGCCTATGGAGAACCAAACTTGGAATAAACTTGCCTGGAAAATTGACTCTACATGCAATTATGAACGAGGTTCCCCCATCCCTCTGCACAGAAAGAGATCATTTGCAGCAGTATAAAACACTCAAAAGGCTGGGATTTTTGGCCTCCCTGTGGAGGTGCCTCTTGGTTGTTTAGGTAAGGTGGTGGATGGTTTTGTCACTGTTCAGATGATTTGCTTCTGGCCCATATGGGTATCTGATGGGAAAAGATGCTGGGAAGTACTGAAAGCGTCCTGTCCTCAGAAGCAAGCTGTCTCTTGTGAAATAATGGGCTGAATGGTGGGGGGGGTTGCATTTTTTTTTGTGGAGTGAGGGTGAGGATTTCATGGATGAGCTGAGGTGCGAAGATGAGCATCAACGCTTGCACGTGTGTGTTTGCGTAGACGTAAAACTCTGGGAGTGGATGTGTTTGACCCATCTCCTCTACAAATGAATGGCTGCCCAGAATGCATCATTGAGCCCCGCGCATCTCTTTAGCTGTGTGTGCTTATAGATGTAGGTACCTGCAAACCGGCAGGCACTGCTCTGCATGAGTTGGGTCGCGGACCGCCATGCACGTGCTCATGGCTCGTGAGGTCCGTGTGCCAGCCTTCATCAGTGGTCCTGGCTCAGAGCAAAGCTCCATCTGATGGTCTTAGGAACCTTTTTAAAATACATCAATGTAACAACAAGAAAGTTTGACTGTGCAACTGTTGATGAGATGCCATTAGAGAAAATGCAACCGGGAGAATGTTGACTCCTCTTGTATCGATATTTTTATTTTTTCCTTTCCTCCTTGCTCAGTTTTTCTTGCTCATTGTGTCTTTCTCATGCCCAGAAAGCAGGAGGACACCCAGAGATGCGCGTCCAGGTCTCAGCAGCGTGGGGAGCAGGGGTGCTATGGGGAGCACGGTGGCTCCATGCCGCAGCAGCACGTTTCTGCTCTTGCACAAGGAGAGGTGAGGCCAAGGGCTGAGCTCCTCCAGCCGCTTGTAAAACACCACGTTTCCAGCTTGCTTTGACCTCTGCGTCTTCTTGCATAGCTCTGCTGTTTTGCTAAAGGGCTGCGACTTGGCAGCTTTAAAAGGTTGCAGAAGGGCCTTCCTGAAAGCAGAGAGCACTCAAGGATGTCCAAACCAGAGCAATGATTAAATCCATGGAGGCTGTGACTTGTCCCTCTGGGGCAATCCGGCTGCTGGGAAGAATTTCCAGGGAACGCTCGTGTGGTCTGCAGGGCCATGTCCTGCTTTCTGAGAAGACAGAGGTGCTGGCAGGCTGGTGTCAGAGGAGAAACTTGATCGATGCACGGCATCTGCAAAGCTTATTGCTCACAGAGCATCAGGCCATGGGAAGAAGCGGGGATGCAGGACTGGGACCAAGGCTGGGGAAAACACCAGGCTGCCTCTTCTCCTTGCATGGTGAGGGAAGATGGGTGAGCGCTCAGCAAGAGTCCAGGAAGGATGGACAAGGACAATGGCAAGGACAGAGGGACAGTATTGCAGCTGGGTGGTATGGCAGTGTCTGCTGTCGCAGCCTGGGGATAAAGGTGTCCGGGGGCAGAGCGAGCTGCCAGAGTTAGTGCTGCGTGATGTGCTGATGGCTCCCAGCATCAGTGCCCATCTGGGAGGTGCTGCCTTTGCCTCATACAGGCAGGCTTGCAGACCACACATGGTGCCCAAGGGCATGCTCATTTGACCCTACATGCTTCGTTCCCCTGCTGTCATGCCTGTACGTTTTGTATTTGCTGTGCCTCTGCCTTTTTTCCTCTGCTCCTGCTGGGTGACAGACCCCAGGGGCAGCTGGCTCAACCTGATGTGATGGGACCAGGTGCTTCCCCATCCTGTCACCTGGGTGCTGAGGACATGCTTGTGTGCACAGGGATGGCCCCAGGTCAATGCTTCAGGCACATCCCTGAAGCCTTCTAGAGATCGGGCTTGGCTGGGCTCAGGCTGCAGAGCCTGAAGTGTTAGCGCAAAGCACACAAAAATGCAGCTAGCTTTTGGGGCTGAAAGCTTTGGGGGCAAAGTCAAGTTACAGCACAAGGGTAATTTTGAGGAGCTGGTCACAGTTCAGGTTGTAGGAGTAGCATCAGCTTCCAAAGTCCTTCATTTATAGAAATGTTCTTAGACTTTGGGTTTGTTTGGTTTTTTCTGATCCTCCAGAAGCAAAGTGTTGATAATCATAACTGACAAATATGAAACGTGTCATCATCTGCCTTAAACGCACCTGTGTTATTCCCAGGATGCAGTCTTATAGGATCTGAGGGTTAAAACGTAGCTAAAATAGCTCAGAATTAGAAAGCTGAGCTTGCAAGGGAGCCGTCAGAGGCAAGGTGTGATAAAGATCATGGTCTTTTCTTCGTGAGGTGCAAAGAACATTTGGCATTTCTGCACCTTCCTGGTGACTTGGCAAAGCCACTCTGACTCAGTTTCACCTGGGAAAAATGAAGGTCTTTGATAAGATTTGGTAAGTGCTTTGTAAACATACTGGCTTTTAAAAAAACATGCCAAGGCCCTCAGTCAGGCATGAGCTGATCTTGATTGGAAAATCAGAAAGGCTCTGGCAAGACAGGCACCACCTCATCGCCCAGGGACAGCTGGGTAGCAAACCAGGTGGGCTCTCTTAGCCTTGCCAACCCATACGAGGTATTTAATTTGGGTGGAAAGTGTGGAGGGGTGAGGAGCTGAGACAAAGCTGTAAGTCATGCTGAGCAGAGGAAAGCAATTGCAGTCCTTGGTGAGAAACAGCTCTGTGCAACAGGGCTGGAGCAGCTTCCAGGGTTGGGTGGTCTTTGAGGAGCCCCTTCCTTGGGTGAAGTATTTACTGTGACTGCTTTCTGGCTCTAAGCACCTTCTAAATTTCTTGGGAAAGATCTCAAAAGTGGTGGTGTTGTGTGTTCCTGGGTCCCAGCTATGGGTAATGCAGTCTTACAGCTACATGTGAGGAAGGAGGCTGTTGTGTGGACAAGGGTATCTCCTTGGATATTGTGGCACATCCCTGCTGCAGTTGCAGAAGCGCAAGCTGCTGTGCCATGTTACCAGGCAAGCTGGTGGATGCTGTGAATTGCTTTATTTTTAGGTCTCACTGCTGATTAAGTACAAACTATGCAGTGTGTCTGGGCTGCTTGGCTTCCTTGGAGCACACCCCTGTCCTGCTTGGTGTGGACAGTGTGTTGGGAGGTCTGGTCTTCCTTGGAGGTCTGTCCTTCCCTTGGTGCCTGCAGGGAAGGGAGAGATGTTCTATCAGTGGCTGCTGCTGATGGAGGTAGGGTGCAGGTGGATGAGGGGTGAACACCACAGCTGTGTGCTTGCAGGGAGGTGGTCAGGGCATGGGGAGGTGCAGCAACTGGGGATTTGCTGTGAATCTTCCTGGAGTTGGTGGGCGTAACTAGCATCCTGCACACACCCACCCAGTTGGCCTCTGGGTTTTAAGGGGAGTCATAGCTCTGCTGTTCCAGGTGTTCATGCCAGGGTGGTTTGGGGGAGGTGGATTGCCTCTGCCACCACCTACGTGCTCTGCAGGACAGGAGACAGCCTTTTTCTCAAGACTCTTATCTGAATCTGGGAAAAACAACATGCACAAACTTCCTATCATGGACCGATGCAGGGAGCCCAAAAGCCCAGCTCCCATCCCGGCAGGCAGAGAGCAGGAGCCCTCCTTTCAGCACTGACTCAC